ACAACGTAATAGTTGATCATGTCACTTAAGCTCTAGATAACATAAACTCAACATCCACCACAACGTAATACATGTAGTTGATCATGTAACTTAAGTTCTAGATAACATAACGTAATAGATGATCAAGTAACTTGTGTTCTAGATAACATAAAGTCAATGTTGCATAGGTAGGTGCAATTTTTGTCCCCATAGCTGTTCCCTTAGTTTGTAGGTAGTTTGCTCAGAGAAACTGAAAATAAAGAAACAGACACAAACTTGTTTACACAATGTGTATCAGACATGTACAGTGCAGATGATGACTTCCGAACTATTGAACTTTCTTGTACGATACAACACAGAAGACAATGCTTGGGAACAGGCAGCTCTGACACTCCAGAAACGTGAAGAGTAAAGATGTTGTTAAAGAGACAAAAGTGATGTCCAGCAGCTTGAAGTCTGCAAAGAGCACTAGCTACTCGTCAAATAATGCATCATTTCTGGTAGGCATCGAGCATTGGGGGCTGGTTGATGATAAAATTTTACAAGAGATATTTGTGGATAAATAGATTAAATTCTCTTCTCTCCTATCAACTGATCCTGATACTGCAGACAATAAGTACGAGGGTTGTTCTGAAAGTTCGTGGACTATGCCAATCTTCGTTATCTTCATGAGCACATTATCATATTTAAAAAAATATTTATTTTGTTTAAGTGTGAAGTCTCACTCCATGTGATTTAATAGAAACCATGTTATTTATTTTTAAAATCAACACGTTTTGTAACCACGGAGCAAACTCAACAACACTGCAACGTCAAAAAACACACCGACATCATGACATGAAGGTTATCACAGGGGTGTGCAATTAGCATCGCCCGACGCCCGGGGCTACCATTTTTTGGGGTCGGGCTGGTAGTTTTCTTCACGGAGGTAGCCCCTTGGGCTAGTAAAAATTAAAACTACCAATGTAATACATGAAAATCACTATCGGTATTTTCACTCATTTTTTGCTATTAAATCCTCAAGCAATGAAAAATTTTCGGCAGCATGCTCATATTTTTCGTAAATCTCCATAATCTTATCCATTTTGCAGTACCACCTGACTTATTTACTTACAAAAACGATCGTTTTTATCTAATCCGAATTTCCTCTATTCCTCTGTTTTTTTGTAAATACACATGCAGATATCTCATTAAATTATTTCCGACCACTCAATCAACTGAAAGATAAGTGTTATGTGGTTTACATAAAATATATTTCCAGCAAATTTAATGATTTAAGATGAAAAAAAAAAAAGATTTTAATTTCATTTTAGATAATTTATTTGAATTCATTTTTATTTACTAATCATAATTATTAATTTATACATGATTTAATTTTACTAGTGAGAATTAATCTTTGTGAGAATTAAACTTTTATTTTAAAAAGAATGACATTAAAACCCTGACTTTTTCAACAATAAACTATTTTCTTTTAATATTTGTTGTTACTCCCCCCCCCCCCCCGGGCCCCCTAGTAACTTTTTACTTGGGCCTAGTAACTTTATTGCTGCCACTAGCCCGTGGGCTAGTGCTTAATTTTTTTAATTGTACATCCCTGATTATCAAAAATACTATCCCTGTACATTTCACCCAGTATTGCCCCAAACCAGTGCTCTCATTAAAACGTTTCTCTATCACTTGAAATTTATTTTGCTAACAATTGTTCCAGTAGCATCATTTTGCTTGACAGTGTTATATTTTTTTTCACTGCGTAAGTGTGCTTTCACAAGATCAGCATCTGTGAAGCGCCATACTTTTAGCATGACGTTACTAACGTTTCAATGTTTTTGATAAGATTTTTACAGATAATCCGTTTTCTCACAGATCACCATCGTCTAAGCAGAGCAGTCTATCAGTCAAATACCGTTTGTACCATTTACACACACATGTATGGCATATGTCTTGCTTCCTCCGGCATTTTCAGAGTTTTTCTGGATTTTTCCAGAGTATACAACATAAAATTGTATGGTTAACTGCTGCTCCTTGACGTTCTACGATCATCTTTTTTGCCTTTTTCAATGAGGACGATCTTTCTCTTGAAACTTATTTCTTTTCAACGAAGCAAAATATTAAGTCAATTTGGAATCAGAAACGATGAAATAATTACTTAATTTGAACTGGTAGATTTTTTTTTTTTTTTTTTTTTTTTTTTTTTTTTTTTGTCATTTTACAGAAGAGATGACTTCAGACGTTATTTAGCGTCTTGATTGTAAATTACAAAATTTTGACCTGCTCCCTGATCCGATTTTCGCATTTTAAAAGTCTATGTAAGTTTGAAATAAATCACGATGTTAAAAAAAAAAAAATAATACACATCATTTAAATTTACTTTTGAAATATTTCTTCCAAATTTGGATGTAATATGACGTTAAGTAAAAAAGTTATGATGGTAGTCTACGAACTTTCCGAATAACCCTCGTACAAATCTATCAAGAAAAATGGCCAAAGCGAAAAGAACAACATCAGCACTGTAGTGAAATGAAGGCTTTCCATATTCATGTTGCCATCTATTCAGAACCAGCAATACTCTACCTGTTATCCGCGGCAATGCCACCAATACACCAGCTACATTTTTGGGCAATTTCAGCATTACTCAATCTAGCACTTCCCTAAGCAACTCCAACAATGCCAGTGATACAACTGAGATCAGAACCAGCAATACTCTACCTGTTATAGGGGACAATGCCACCAATACACAAGGACCATGTTTGGGCAATTCCAGCAATACCTACATTTTGGAAAAATTCCAGTAATGCTTACTCTTTTACTGGCGGCAATCACATGGAATCTGGGCCCTTCAATTTCTATGCTGAAAGAGAGCCAGTGCAACCCAATACTTCATTGACTGATTCATATGCCCTTTGGTGTTTGTTAACCCGTCTGCAAAAGGTCAGGGAAGGAGTTTTAACATAACATTTCTAAAGTAACATCGTCGCGGGTTCGAATCCCACTGTGGGACGTGGAGACCGGTCCTTCGGATGAGTCCGTATAAAAAGAGGTCCCGTGTAGATAATGGCACGGAAAAGATCCCTCACAGATAAACAGGAATTGGACATCTGATTCGTACAAAATGAGTCCCACCATATGGCATGCCTTAACAAAGAGTGAGCTAAAATTTCGAGCGATCTGTTGCTGAGAAAACTGTAACCAAAATTTATTTTAAACTGTTCAATTAATAATAGTTCAAGTATGCTAAAATGCTGATTTTTTGTTTAATGTGAGATTAAAGTGAATGCTGCTTTTTGGCTTTAGAAAAAAGTTGAATAAATCTTGGAAAACCTAAGTTCCATCCAGCCCTTTAAACCCCCATTATTCTTGCACTTATATAAACTGCATGTCCTGTGGTAATTGACATTAAAACTGATGAAAATACTCACCCTCGTTATTTAAAGGCATCTCAGTCACACCTTTTCTCTCATTGATCAGCATCAGCATCTTCGAAATCTTAGTTTTTTGAATTATGTCCAATGGTTGTCTATATATATCACGATGAATTCGTATGTCATGGCCAAGAAATTTGGCAAGCTGGTCCTGACTGTTCTCACTCAGCTCATGGATCCGTGCCATTGTTGCAATGTTTCCTTATATTGGTATATGTCATCAAATGTCCATACTGAAGCTCTACTTTCTCACAAAGGACAAAAGCCAAAATGTACCAAAATTGGGCCTGTCACTAAAATAGATCAAACTTTCTCAAACAAAACTCTTATATTTGTAGATTACAAAACATTTTATTTTTTTACAATATCTTTTCTAGTTTTCTTTTTACAGGCGTTTAAATTCAGTATTGTTTTCAGAATTAATTCTAAACGTCATGACGTCGACGTTATTTACTTTAACGTCAAAAAGTCCATCTTACATACTGTCACGACATGATGTGAACTTAAATAGGCATATCATACATATTATACTATAAAGAAAAAGAATCCAATTGTTTTATAAATCTCAATTTATCATGGCTTTTTCCATGAAATTCTGAAGCATGGAAAAATTCGCATTTGCTTTTCTAATAGTCCGTGCTTCTCTAGACAGCAACTATATTTACTTCATAAGCGATTAAGCTGATTATCATTTTACAAATGTCACATTTAAAAGTGTCAGTTTATAGAAATAAAAACAAAAACAAAAAAAATTATCAGGTTTCTAGTAAATATTTGTATTTCTTGCTCTGAAAGTATTCATTACAAAACATAAAATATTTAAGTACAATTCACTACTAATATGATTTTAAAGTAAAACAAATAAATAATACATAAATCAAAAATGGTATATATACATGTATTTAAAAAATCAAAAAAAATGTATATATGCATGTATTTATAAATATATTTCGTCAAGTTATGCAACTTTACTAATTAATGCTATATCACAACATCCAACTTAACACTCTAGCAGCAGATTAAACTGGAAAATCAATAAAATATAACACTGTACATGCGGAGCGGCCAATTTCCGCACCCGACTTAACACTCACACAGTATATTAAACAGATAATTTGATAAAATATAACAATGTAGATAAAAAAGATAAATTGATAAAATATAACACTGTACATGCGGAGCGGCCAATTGCCGCACCCGACTTAACACTCACGCAGTAGATAAAACAGGTAAATTGATAAAATATAGCACTGTACATGCAGAGCGGCCAATTGCCGCACCCGACTTAACACTCACGCAGTAGATAAAACAGGTAAATTGATAAAATATAACACTGTACATGCGGAGCGGCCAATTGCCGCACCCGATTTAACACTCACGCAGTAGATAAAACAGGTAAATTGATAAAATATAACACTGTACATGCGGAGCGGCCAATTTCCGCACCCGACTTAACACTCACACAGTATATTAAACAGATAAATTGATAAAATATAACACTGTACATGCGGAGCGGCCAATTTCCGCACCCGACTTAACACTCACACAGTACATTAAACAGGATTTTTTTTATATATATAATATTCAATGAACATTAACAAACTGTTCACTCCTCAGGAACACTTTCACAGCTACTGACTTCACTGTCTGACTCGTCCAAAGTAGGCGGGATGTCAGCTGCATCAAGGACATGCTCACTCCAATCACGCACACCATATGTCCTTCCCTCATGCCTTCCTTTTGCCAGGTACCAAATGATGGCTGCTATGTGAGAGCACATGCCTACAACTCTGGCACCCGCTCTGCAGGTACAATACCATGCTTCTACAGAGCAATCAGAATATTCAATCCAAACTAAATACTGTTTTGATGATGTGTGCCGACTCTGAATTTTTAGTCTTAGGAGCCTATCATTATCTTTATGAAAGGAAATATCACATTCTCCCTCAATGTGTTCCTGAATATAGCTGCGGGAGAGCTTCAGCTGATAGGTGCCACAAGTCAAATTCCGCAACTGATCCTCATCCAACATGGGGAAATTCTGAATTTCACATTCCAGAACTGTCTGCCATTGAGTAGATCTCCTGTTAAGTCCATTCTCTTGAACCATTTGTTTGAGATTATTCACCTGTTAAGCAAGGTAGTAATGCAATTCATATACATTGAATCATGTACATGTAATTATAACTTATACTGATGTATTCAAGGGAGATAAGGAAGATGAAATAAAGAAATGGAAAAAGTTATGTCTTCTTAAATGCAGATTTTTTGCAGTTGCTTAAGATATTTTACAATAAATCAATCTGTGCAACTTAAATACCTGTTTGGACAAATAGAGCATTTTTGCTGCCTCTGCATCATCTGCCTCATTGCTATCACTTTTACTTAGGGGTGGGAAGAATCTGTTTGACAGCGCACAAACAATTCTGACATAGTCCCCGATGAAGGGAATTTGATTAGTGGGTAGTGTCTTGTCCAAATATCGCCACCTTTTGATGCGTGCATTTGATGATTCAACTACCCATCTGACCAGAAAAATTTTTAAAAATTATTTATGGGAATATATTTCCACAAGAAATTGTAAAAAACTTAATTATTGCAAGAATTTAAAAATTATTTACCTTTGTCACAAGTCTGCTCATATTTGCATCATCAGGAGCCATTTGTTTTTGTCCCTTTTCCTAAAATCGGGGCATTTCTGCCTGGATTCCAAGATCTTCAAGCAGAAGCAAAGCATCTCTGAACCCGCGGTCCACAATAAAAATGTCGTCTTCACTAAGCCAGTTCCGAATATCTTCTGCATTTGTTTTGATGATGTGTTGGAGGATTGAAGCATCATTGTTTTTATTATCAGCAAGGTATGGTCCTAAGATTGAGACAAAGTAACCAGTAGTAGTCACAATCACCATAGGCTTGATAAGTGGTCTCCCCTTGTGGATGCTGTAAGAACGTCTTTGGTAATGGAAATTGTTACTCTTTGCTGTGTATATGTATGTTCCATCCAATACCAATATGGCCTGTTTCTTCTCGATGTTACCGAACAGTGTCTGTGCTAGCTGCCGAGTATGGTCATTTATGACTTCCTCTCTAGTTACATGCTCAAACCCAAGACTGTGCGGAACAAAACTGATCATCATTGCCTTTCTTACAGCACTAATAACTCTTCTTAAACTGGATTTGGAAGTTTGAAAAAGTGTTGACAGTATTTGATTTGATAATCCGGTCTTTAATTTACAGAGAAATATGGCTACTGATTTTTTAAGACTTCTAGATGGTGTTGGTTTCACTTCAGTTTTCACAGAATCACATATCGTATGGAAATTTTCCTTGCTGAGTCCCAGCAGAGATGAATAGTCTGTATCTGTCAGAGTCTTTGCTTCATCAAAGTCCAAATAAGACTTTTCCTGTTTATGGCATAAATCACGCATCTGTTGAAGTAAACTTAGGATGGTAGTTCTGTTAACAAATGCATGGTCTGTTGTCGGTAATTGCTGAATAGCCGCACTTGTAAAGCGTCCATTTTCCAGATGACCTGGACAACATCTATTTCCGGATGGAATTAGTACATTGTGTTCAATAAAAACAGCTGTGCGGCATTCTGGGGACACTACTATTAATTTAGGTCCTGGTTTCTTACAAACAATACAATACGCATGAGTCTTTGCAGTGGATTTGAGTTGCAAGGATACTGATGGTGGACTAGACAGATGTTATCTGTGGTTATTAGTTTGGGAAGAAATGTTTTGAGAAGCTGGAAATTCCCTGTGAATTATGGTAGAGCAGGGTGTTGCTGTAGATTTATGGTTTGAAACATCTCTGTAATAATTGTTTCTACATTTGCTGCAGATGACTGAATTTTCTCTTCCTTCCACCATAAACTTTTTTCTTAAATATTTTCTTATTCCTTTGTCAAGGTGCCTTCTTTCATTGGGTTTTGTTCTTTTAGAGCACAATACACAATTGAAGTATTCATGTTTCTGTCCTGGCATTATCTGAAATTAAATTAAAACATTTAAAACATTATCCAGGCTAAGCATGAAAAATAATTCATATGCCTTTCCAGTAGAATAACATTTTTTTTAAATTTTACTGTCACAATTCATTAACTACAGCCAAAATGACTGATTAAAATCTTTGCACAACATATCTTTTTAACTAGTTTAGAATTACAATAATAATCTCATCCCATGATGTTAGCTGGCTATGCTCAGATTCATGGACCCTTACATTTGTTAAAACTTTACCAGTGGATGGACATTTTATTAATTTTTACATCAGTATACAAAGATTGTCGTATTACTCTGGGAATACTTTAAGAAGTTAGCAATAAAACTCTATCTGATTATGTTAAACCACCTTATCTTTGCTTTTTTCTATTTTATAAATCCATTAAAATTATAGTGAAAGTATGTGAAAAAATGTTAAGTTCCTACTGCGGTTTTAAGTAATTCATATCATTCTTTTCAATTAATATCAGTTTATATATTCACACGCCTTTAGATCCACCCCATTCCAAGTTATATTTATTTGATGAATAGGAATATAAAAGTTGCACAATTATAATATTGAATTGAGCCTATTTTTCTTTAACAGTATGCACTACTAATTTTTTTTTGACTAAATATTACTTAATCATGATTTGTTTTGTATTGTTGATTATATCATTTTTAGAAATAATGATTATTTAAAAGAACCTATCAAAAAATTTTGCAATAGAACGTGAATTTCCTCAAAGAGAGGTAACTCATGAAAACGAAAATGTCAACATTGCTACTGCGACTTTTAATTTTACAGATATATTAATCTGCGTTTAATGTGTCAATTTTTGGTGAATATATAAATTAATATTTTTACATTCATATATGGACTTAAAAGATACGTAATTTTCTTCAAAAAGGGTTTAGATTGGCATGTTATTCATAGGGGCCTAGTGTAATCATTGGGCTTATCATATTTGGGTGAGAATAAAATGAACGCACTACATACAGATTTTATAAATCTTCATTTAGACCAATGCCGATCTTTTCTGAGCTTAATCACATGTACTACATGTATAATACATGTACACACACATATATATGTCCCTATAGGATAGGCCTATCATAACGCACACTGCAGACGATATATGGGCCAAGCGAATGTGGTCTAAATTATCAGCTCATCATCATCATATTATTGCTGCAAATGTATTTTAAAGCTAATTTTACTTTTTTTTAGAAGAATAAAAGATACTCACCACGATAAAGTCTCAAAAATAAACTTCTCGATCTTCAGTCATAGTCTTTGCATTACGAGTAGTCAGCCATTTTTATCATATCGGGATCGGAAATTCCCTTTTATCGATCTGGATGCAAGTTAATAGTAAATCGAGTCGATTTCATATCCTTTAAAATTCGTTGACGATGTAACAATGATTTATTTAAAAAATAAGTCATCAATATGACTTATTAAATTTATTTTTATTTCTAAAATCTTATGAAAATAAAATTCCGGAAATTAGCTTTACACAAGACAGGCATCAAAGTACTGAAAAATATCAATTAAAGTAGGGCGCCACATGTGAACCATCAAAAAACAAATGAATTATGAATTTACATGTATTAATTTATATGTATTTAAAATTTCATCACGGTTCACGATTGGCGCCTACAAAAAATCGTTTAAAAAAGGTCAAAAAATTCTGTGCAAATTGGTATTTCTGCATTACCACATCCGGTATTGATGTGTATAATAGCGCACGTGCGGTTTCCTTCCCAAAAATCAAGACGGAGATCAAAAGTTTAACACCTTATAAAGATCTGACCAAAATTTCGCTGCAAAAAAATAAAGTTTGATTTTCAGGGATTTACAGGGCCGAACTATGCAAATTTTGGCTTTAGTTCTTTCAGTTAGAACGTATCTGGCTCTCAGTGGGCGGAGGGAGGGGTTACTGTCTTGCAAATATATATTTTCGGCAACGTTTGCATCGCTTCGTTTCTTAATCAAGAGATTAATGCTTTTAATCATATCCTGTGTAAGTAATATTGCCGCTTTCCTTCCCTGCTTTCCTTTTAGTTCAATGCATGTTAAAGATCTACACAGTTCAGGTTCGAGGTCTGAAAGGCTCGATTTAATCTCACTGTCTTGTGGAATATTGTTTTGTGCTTCGATTGCTCGGTTGTAATTCTCAACTGTTATTCGTTGAACATCTCCCCCACGCTTGCTGTTGAAAAGCGTGATGCGGCATAGTGTAACTTTTGCAAGGTCAGAGTAAAATGCTGCATTATCTGGAACCTTTGGAAGAAGTTCCTTGATTTTCTCCTTTAAGTACGTATTAAGTTTGAACACATCTTCACTCAGCGGCAACATTTTTAGGTAGTTGTATTTTTTCTCGCTCAATGTTTGTCTGGCACCTGAGGAAACGAGCTCACTCCAATCAAAATCGTACAACTGCGTAAAATCAGAACCATTCTCTTGTATTGTCGGCCTCAATGATTCCATCTGATCTGTAAATCCCGGCACATCTTTGGAGACTATACTATACTTTGTTTAAGCATGCCATATATACTGGGATTCATTTTTGTTCGAATCCAGTGTCAACTCCCTGTTGATCTTGTTCGTACCAAATTTCCGTCACAGTTTTCTCAGCAACTGCTACAAGAGGCTTGAAATTTTCGCACAATCTTTGCTTAGGCATGCCAAATGGTAGGATTCATTTTTTGTATGAATTTGATGACAACATCAGAGTGTATATTTACATCAGAGCGGGAGTATTACTAGTGAGCATCCGCTCACAGACTTCTTGTATATTCTTTTAAACATATATTTTACTACATGTCTAAGAAGCATTATTTAGGTTTCCAGGCAATAGCCAACTTTGTAAAAGCATACAATAGGTTATTAATAAGTACACGTAAAAAACTTGCAATATATTTATCAACAAAATACATCGACGAGGTCTTCATGCAAAAGATCAGGCTTATTTTAGAATGTGCAGCTCTTGTTAAATTGTGTCCAGTCAATTTCTCCTTTCAACAACTAGACAAACAAGGGATTTCTCTGCTGCCCCACTCATTTTGGTGAAGAGTGTTATCTTTATGTCCCCTTTCGGTCTTCTTTTACGTGTATTTGCATTCCATGCCGAAACAAAATCTTCAACTCTCCTTGGAAGATGGACATAATGAAAGCATGCAATGATATACATTGTGCAGTTTTGCCTTAGAGATTCCAAGTACTGAGGCACAAGCCTCATCTAACATCTTTATAATTAACAAGAAAATTGACCAGTCAGCAAGGACCCCGCCGAGGGGTAGAAATATAAAGTGCAGCTTACGGAATGAGAATTTTACGTGATTACAAAAATTTAAAAATATATGAAGAAGAATAAGCAACAGCAACTGTATTCCTAAAATTTCAAGTTAATTCCTGTAAATACTATCCATGTATTTACATAAGGCAGTAACAAACATCATATCTTATTGTAACTCAATTAAATGTATATAATTAAACAAGAATGAAGCATTTGTTTTATAACTATCACAAAGGCTTGAACCTAACTTCAAAAGAAACATGCATCAGTTACAGACAAAGGTGTCAATTAATCTTACAGAAATAGATATAGATAAGCCCCTAAATTTTCTGCAGCAAACAAGATAATAAATTCAGGGGGATTTATTGAACACTTCTCTCATCCTTTTCTTCTAAGTTTACAATGAAATATATGGAGATAACGAACAGTATTCAAGTTCAAAAGTCCATTAAACATTACAAAATAGGTGCAGAGCAAAGATGGACATCCAAAACATCAGAGTCGGGATCAGGTGCCATGGAGGAGTGAGTATCCCCTGCCGACCGGTCACACCCGCCGTGTGGTCCTTGTCATGATCGGGAAATAACGGAAAAATTCGTCGACAATTCAAGTTGATAAAATATAATAAGACCTTTTTCAGCAATGATATAATGAGGCTATTATCCGTCTACCGGTTAAAATTAATAGTGTTTTTGAATTTACATACAAATAAATATATAAATCAATGTATAAAATATATCTTTATCTTGCTTTTAGAATTCAATAAAATCAGAACTCATTGCGTATTTTGACCAAAATGAAATATGAACATTATTTAAATCCACATTTCAGAGAACGTAAACATCATTCAGAATTGACCTTCACTTCAAAAGACATTTCATTTGCAGACAGAGAGGTGTTTATTAATCTCAAAGTGAAAGATAAAGATAATGCTTTGGATTTTCTTCAAGAGGAAAGGTAATTAATCCCAAGGGACTCGTTGCAGTCTTTCATACTTCAACAACAGGAACTTTTTCAGCAGTTATATCTCTTTGCCCATTCATTGTTATGTAAAGTTAAGGAATCTACCCCACTTACAGTGTACTAAGCTGCAAACCGGATGATATAGGGAACCAAACTTAGCATTAAAAAATGTCTTACAGCCCATTCAACCAACATACCAAATTAAACTTAATTGGTCGACCCTAAAAAAAGTTTTGTTTTTTTTAAAGAAAATTTGTTGAATGACAGACGAATAGACAGAGTGATAACTATAGGACACCCGCATTTTCTTGCGGGTCCTAATTAGGATACTCGGGGTGATGCAAGTTCCCTTTCTGTCATCTGTTTTATAGTTTTCTTATGAAGAGAAATATTGATTTTTCTTCTGATGTCAGTTTTTTCTAGTCCGTGGCGCACATTGAGAATTTTATCTGTGCCCTGTGGTTGAAGCAAAGTTTAAGTGCCTCAGGGTCAGTAACGTTTATAGATTTATGGAAATAGACCGTGTCTTTAATATCCCTTCATCCAAAAGCCCCTGAAGAGCAATATACATACAGTGAAAACTGTCTTATCCGACAATCCGTCACACTGTTAATTCCGATGTAAAATTTCTTTCCCATTTTACTAATTTTCATATTTTCTACACTGTGCAGTCCGACACTCTGTCTATTCCGACACAAAATTCGTCTCCCAGAGCATGTCGAATTAGACAGGTTTCACTGTATCAACAACAGAGACAAAGTCCTTATCTGCATCGTAATGGGTGTTGATATTTTCATTTACGTTTGTTCTGGAAATAATATTTTTTCAAATGACCTAATGTTCCCCTGTCCCCGACACTGTTTCTCTTTGTACTAAATTTTGAATACCATTTTCAGGAAATTCATTTTCATGTCCAATATATGTAGTTCAAAAGTTATGGGACTTGGGTTCTCAAAACGATCATTCCGCTCATCTTCGTGAGCCCTCATAGCCTTTGCCCCAGAAAACCGTTATCTTGTCAATTGATCTCCTCCTACATGAATGAAAAAATCATTCTCATCTTTGTTGGATTTCCGGCAAACATCAAGAACAAGATCTTCAAAAAATTATAAAATTTCCACATCATCTTTATAACTATGTTCATTTTCGTAAAGCACTGGAAATGGAATTACTTTAGACAGAAGTTCAGGATAGGTTGGCTGACTAATATTTGCCGGAACAACATCTCGAAACTGGCCAAAATATGGCAGGTGTTTAAACATGACCCTGGCAGACATCATATAGTCCCTGGTTAAAACTTCGTTATCTTCGGGAGATAGTAAAAATGCCTTAACTGGTGTAGAACAAAAATCTCGCTGTGGGTAAATGTTTGATAGATGATCAAATTAGATATTCTGGACTACATCTTCGCTAGCCAAGTGTCTGATTCGTTTACCCTCATCTCCCCCTTGGCAGATTTAGCCAAGTTTCTAAGCTTTCAAATCCTCGCGCTTTGACGTTCCAGGGCACCCAATCAAATTGCTCCAAACAAATACGTTTAGTACGAGTAATTGCGGCGCCCAGTGTTGACCTTTGCTGTCGTCTTTGCCACGGAATTTTGCCAAAATGTATATCCCATGCTTATTTTAATTTTAGTATTAATATTTCATCTTTCACATACAGGTACCATATATAGGCACAAAAGAAAAAGTTAAATCAAAATTAATACCTTCTGGAGATTACCAGAAAATCATCAGGTGCATGTCAAAGAGTAATTCACATCAGAAGGTTTCGCAAGTTATCTACAATTCCAGTTTTGAACTGTGTTGTGAAAGACGTCAAGAAAGAGCTGTCCCAGCTTTCATCAACTAAGACTGCTTCATGTCTCAGACATCAAGTGATGAGTTGGCCACAATGAACTTTGAAACATGGAACTTCGAGCTACAGTTGCATTCTCAAGTTTTGTACAAGATAATTTCTGGTTTTTATAATGACAGCAACTCAATGGCTGTGGCAGTGATTGCTGCTATCATTCAGAAACAGAGAAATATGCACATGTCTGCTTTTCACCATGCACTATCCCAGGTTTTGGATACTGGTGGTGCAACAGATGAGGTATTTACCTGTGATAAGAATGTTGTATGATTATATATCCTTTTGTGAAATGTCTTAAACATTACATTAACAATTTCAGAGATTAAAAAATGGCCTTCTACCTTGAGAAAAAAAAATGTGCTAAATGAAATGCATGAATTCACTACATTATATGATACCTGATATTAATGTTTCAGTGCTTAAATCTTCTGAACAACCTAGGTATTTGTGTGTCATCATCTGTTGCTGCAAAAAAGAAGTCTGACTTCATAGCAAGACAAACTGACCATATTGAGAAGCTTGTAATATCAGAAAAGATAGCCCTTGAACAAAATACAGGTGAGGAAAAAGTACCATCAGATATAATGAGAGATAATTTTGACCTAACGAAATGTTCATCACACACGAGTAAAGAAAGCCAAAGCTGGCATTGGTTCCTACTGGTTGGTTTGAAAAAGAGTGTTTTGAACTTAAGTATAGATGTTCCTGTGAAACCTATATCTGAAGTTGAAAACAGCATCTTTATTCCTAGTGTTGCAGATTCCAAATCTCTGGAAAATAATTTTATTCATCATATTATGAAAGTTTTAGTGAAATATTTTCCTTGTTTCCAAAAATATGAATCTTATATTCCAAATTGGATCGAACATCCTCACATGCAAGAACTGTCCAAAAAATCTGACTTTGTGATATTAGATTGACTAGATAAAAGTGAAAATAAAAACGAGGACATGATCAGTATCTTAGAGCACATCCATCATAATTACATCCCCCACACAGCTGAGGAACATCCCATTGTCATCAGAAAGAAAGTGTTTGGGGAGGGATGTTCTCACAAATTAAAGAGCTTTTTCTGCACAGTTAGCAATGCTAAAAGCAGCAACAGATTTTGAACAAATAGTTGGTGTAATACATAGGCCAGAAGGACTGCATAGAATGATGAATCTCTGTCTGGTAACAAGTTATCAAACCTGTTAAAATGTAGAAGTTACAGTTCAGAGATTCAAGTATGTCAGGTAGACATCTTATAGTATGTTTTATTTATCCATTAATATACAGTCTTAAAGAGCTACATGTATTTTATCAAGTCATCCAATTTTTTAATATATATCTCGCAATTACCATTATTACATACATACATTCAGTTCAGTTAAAA